ACTTATTCTCGACCTCTTCTACAAATAATAACCACGTCACTTGATCTTTTAACATTTTCATGGTGACATTTGTCCACCATACTCTAGCTTACCCACATAGTAACAATACTACTCCATCTAACTTTTTCACTTCAGAAAAGTGAAAACCTTCTAACATTATCTTCACATCAATTGACCAAAGGTCCGCAACAACAGGACCTTCCTCAACTTCACATTTGAACTCGAGTGCTCCTAACCTTTTTAACTCTTCGTTTCTCTCCTTCTAAGAGTTGAAGGAACAAAAGATTGGAAACGTATAAAAATAGCATTCCACATTCTAAAAACATCCCCTAATCTTGTACAGACACTCTCTGAGGTTTCACTCTTTACTCTACTTGACCAGGGCAGGTGAATTGGTACTACCTTCAGGTCTATTGTCTCCCACTTCACTTCGGAAACTCTCATGGTCATACATCTAATATAACCTAACAATTCAACTCTATTAACAAGACAACACACTCCTTACACTATCATATCATAAATTTTCCACTTTGTGTTGGCATGTACATATTTTAAAACACACTTGATTTTTGTTTAAGCCTAGAATCGACTAAACCTTAGTTCTGATACCATTAAATGTAACACCCCAACCCATATCTGACCAGATATGAGTCCGAGGTGTCACATTAACTTTTTAAATCATATACTTATACAAAAGTGTAAAAAAATCAACTTATATTAAATAAAACAACATAATTTACATAATTTTAACCAAAAAGTTTACAATTCGATCAGAGCATGTCCGAATCAAATCTTTAATTACATGCCAACTACAATCAATATAACAAATATGTACAATTCAATTCTTTTCTGATCTGATCTTTGGAAATGAGAAGCTAACCTAACTTGACTTTCATATCCTTGCTCCTTTTCTTGGAACTTACGTGTGAAACACTCACACGCTAAGTCGTTGACTTAGTGAGGCATATAAAATTTATAATGGAAACTTAAATACTTAACAATACAAGAACATTTCATACCATCATATCATACAAAACCATATAATATTTCATATAACAAAATGCATACATACACATATATCATTATTATCATCATCAACATTCTTATCGTTATCAATATTATTATCATTAATCCATTATATCATATAATCTTGTACTGAACATTTATTCACATCATATAATACATTTCACATAGCAAAACACATAACATCATATATAATTTATTTATGTTATCTCTTTTAATAGTCCATGGTACACATCTGAGAACTAAAGATATGTGACTGCATTGAGGTTGTGCACAAATGCTATCACTACAGCTCGTATAAATTGCATTGAGTACCATATAGAATGTCCCGAAGGACCGCGTAGAAATTTCCCGAAAGACCACATAGAATTTTTTGTGAAGGATCACATATATGTCCCAAAGGTCCGCGTAGAATTGTCCCTAAGGACCACATATATATCCCAAAGGACCATGTAGAATTGTCCCGAAGGACCACATATATGTTCCAAAGGACTGCGTAGAATCCTCGACTTTTGGCATGCCAACTATACCCTTAGCTCCCATCTCACGTACTATGGGCTTTACTATTTACATCATTTATTCTCTTTATTTCACATAGTCAATAACTCATATAAATCGTGTCTCATAGTATATATCACATGTACATGTAATCACATAGCTTATTATCTCGTAGATGATGTCAATCTTTTATATAATCACTTAGATCATTGCCATATAACTTATATCTTGATCTCTTATGTTCACATATAACATTTAATATATAGAATAACATATAAACTTATACATATACTCATGTATACATTTCATATAGTCCATATATTAATGCAATATAGCTTATCTCACATTTTTACATAATCACTTATATCACAATAATTATATACTAGTTTCATATATTCACTTAGTTCAGTTTCTCATAGCTTGTCACATAGGCATATATTCTCATAATTTATTATCACCTAGTTCATATAACGTTCTTATATGATTTCATAGATCCTCCCCTTATAGATTATCTTACATGTTCGTATAATCACTTATATTAATATCTCCTGGCTTATATTCTATTCTTATATTTTCATATAGGTCGAGGCTACTTAGCTTATCTCACTTTTCATTAAATCACATAAGTCAATTATACCAGTTCATATAGATCTAATTCATATACCGTGTTATCATATATTCACCTAGATTATTATCGCACAAGATAACATATAACACATAGTTCATGAATAATAATGCATATAACACATAAATATGTATTAATGTACACAAATAGAAACCATATAAACAATAGGCTTATATTCATAACATCATACAATGAGAGAATTGGAAATAGACTCATCACAAGTCTTATTTCCATAAAACACCATATACAAAATAATATGCACTCACTTTAGCCTCACTAGTTCAAGCAACACACTTCTCTTTCTTGATCAATCTTATCTCATTGACTCATCTGGTACTTGCTTTCGTTCGATATCTATATGTTACATATAATCGATATGAATGTCTTAATTTGAATCACTATTAATCAATTGTCTATAACATAAGCTATAGAATTTACTTAATTTACAATTTTCGTATGAGTAGTATCGGTACGCAAGGTACATTACCGATACTTCTACTCTATGGTATCGAAACTATAATTCAATATCGATACCAATTTAAATTCTGGAATTCCTCTTCAAAATCGTACCGATAATTGCTTACTGGTATCGATACCCCTAGTATGGATACTACTCATTTGGTATCGATACTTCTTGAATAATTTATCAACTTTTTGCTTATGGTATCGATATTGTTCATCCAGTATCGATACCCATCCCAAATATCATCCATTTTCTCTTTGAAGTATCAGTACTGAATGAACAGTAACGATACCCCTTGCCCATAATTTTCTTATTTTAACCCGAAAATTAACTAAACTTACTTAAATCTTCCTCTTTAACCTCTTTTTAAACCTTTAACTATAGTATACTTATTAAAACTAACTTATAACACTTTAACACACTTTAACATCCAAAATTCCCATTGAACACTTAGAACCAAAAATCATCTAATTATTCAACATGTTCCAAATCCCTTTCTAACACTTCAGATTTCTTATTTCAGCTTATGAAAAGTCAAATTTAACCTCAACCTTCATTTACAAACTCTACAACAAATTTATCAATTTATGACGAAATTTCTATATGACGCTACATACAACGTCACAAAATATACTATATTGGTGACGTTTTTTTAATTTTTGTCACATTTAGTGATTGATGGTATATCTTTTATGATAATTTTTAAAATGGTAATTAATTTTCGTCACTATATGTTTGGAGCCAAAATTTGCCTCCAAAAAAATAAGTGGAAAACTTTTCAATGACGTTTAGATAAAATGGAGACGTTGTAAAATCGTCTCTAATGAAATAGAAGTATCAATGACGAATTCTTATTATGACGATTTGACTTTAATTAGTGACATGGCAAATTTGTCATTAATAATTTTTATTCATGACATATTGATTTGTCATATTTTATAAGATATAAAAGATGACATTTTTGTGTGCCACAAAATAGGTTTAATGTGACACAAATAGTTATTTATCACAATCACTTGTCTTTTATATAACAATTTTAAATCAAGATATTATATCATTTAATGTTAGGTATCAAGAATTAACCAAAATATTATCAGAAAAAACTTTATTGGCATCTTAGATGCACTACTAATTCGAAATCTTATTAGTAATGATTTTTCAGATGTTTTATTTTTTTTGGATTTTTTAAAATTATGTGTTCTATATATTTATATTTATATGTATATATGTATGTATGAATATTAGACTTTTTTATACATACATTTATGTATATGTATATTAAAGATCTCTTTCATCATTAAAAAAAATCTTTAATCAATCATGTCAAAGTTGAATACTAATAACATAATCATAAATGTTGCGCACAAAAATCGATAGTAAAAGAATTAATTGGGTTTAAATTTAATTTTTAAAATATTAATTGTGGAATTCGAATTAAATTAAAGATTTTGTAAAGTTTCTATGGCCAATTCATAATTTTTAGATTACTCAAGCATAGAACCTCTAATTTTACCCCTCTACTTTATATTTCAAAAAAAAAAAAACGTTTTGTGATTGGCAAAATTATGTTTTGTGGAAATATAAACGTGCACCTTACCATTGAGTTTAGGGTGCGTAAAATTTAACTAAAAAAATTAAAATTTTTCAATTCGATTTGATATAAATTGACTCATAATTTCATAAAGTTGATTCAACTTACAAAATTTCAAATAAAGTTTGAATCATAAAATAAGAATCGAATAACTCAAAATTTTTAGTAATTAATGGATTCTTTTTCAACTTCGAGTCGTCTCTTAACTCTGTATGATATAAGTATATAACATATGAAAAAATATGGATAAATATATATGTATATCGTATATGGTTATAAAATATTACATAAATTGAAATCAATTAGTACTATAACATTATAAATATTTACTGTTAAATTTAAAGATAAATTCCAAAAAATCAATTGCACTTAAATTAATTTCGAATAAAATCATAGTTATAAAATATTACACGTCAACTCAAATCTTTTAATTGAACCGGAAACAATCTATACTCACCCCCTAATTGAACCAACAATTCGATTTTGATTTAGATGCAAAACTTTTTTTTCTTTCCTCTTTTTATACATTTTTTCATTTCTTTGATTACAATCATAATAATATTAATAGTATTAATAATAAACTGATTAAGACTAAATTATGAAAATAGAAAAGAATAATTGTAAAAAAAAGCAATCAAATATATTAATTAAGGACTAAATCAGAAACGCTACAAACTAAGGAGAACCAAAGATGTAATTACCACGACACTAAAGAAAACGTGTTGGTCTAGCAACTCTTTATCTTTCCTTTTTATATATTTTGTTTTTATATTTTTTTTATTTCCCCTCTTAATAAAACCCTCTCTTTCCCATTGTATTGCGTCGTCGACCATGGTATCGGCCGCCATTAGCAGAGCCGTTGAACTCAAAAAATGCACCAACATTTCTGTTGGGCCTCTTAATCACAATTTCAGCCTTGGTTTCAATGAAAAACTCCTCAATTTTCCCAAATTAGTCGCAAACGTTTTGGGTTCTTACTTATGATCTCCGCCTTCCGCTGTTCGATAGAGCCCATCTTTACATATGTTGATCCTTTCACTGAATATAGAATCCCTACTGTTGGGATTGGCCTTTCATCACTTTGATCACACGAAAGTGGCAACGATCGGAGGTACCTTTTTTTTCTTTGATTTCTCCATTTTCACTTTTTTTTTTTCTTTTTACATACTTTGGTTTAAGGTACTACAATGTTTTGGAGGGTTTGTTTTGTTGGAGCGGTGATGAATTTGATTGATGATGAGTGTAGAGTTGGGAAAATGGATGGTGGTGGACGATGGGTGTGAGACGCTAATTGTTGGATCGTAAAGGTCAGAAAATTTCATGGACTAATTATCACCATCATGCTTCTTCTTATTTTGATGTTAATAGTTGTTTTTCACTCTTTTAGAATTAATCTATGATTTCTGAAAATAGTTATTTGACAGAAACATTATTGTCTTTATAAGCAATTGGTTTGATAGCTTTTTCTGTATTTTGATTATAATTCTTAACCATATATGAATGCCACTTTACGAACAGTGTGTGACAACAAATGAGAAAAAGGTATAGATAAAGTTTATGACCCCATATTCTCTTCAATAATTTTAAATTTTGTCAACTAATTATTTGTTCTTATCAATGGAATCATCACTAGGATACTTGTTGCATGTAAAAGAATTTTTTATGTCTTATTCCCATGATTAGTGTCTCTCACTTTTTTTCCTTTCTTTCTTTTACTAGAAACGAGAATGATTGAAACTACTATTGGTTTGCCTGCAGATTATGACATGATTAACGGGTCCATCTTCATACTACTAGCGTATTTCAAAAAGCTTTTTTGATGAGTTCTTTATGGTATTTCGCTAGAATTTCCAACTATTGCAGCCTGCTTGTGCTTTCTGCAACAACCATGGTGGCTGGTCTATCTTTTTTCTCACTATTCAATGTGTCAGGTATTTCTCTCATAACATTGTTTTTATATATAAACACAACTAGAAATCCTTATGTTCTTCATCTTCATCATACAATAACTTTTCTGATCCAATCTGTTGTGATTTATTGTATGTGGTTTTGTGCTGATTTTTCATTGACAAATATGGTTTTGTACTGCTTTTGACCATTATTTTTCAAATGCTCTTGTCGTGTGATTTACTTATTGTTTTAAAGTTTTTGGATATTTTTGGTATCTCCAACTTCTGAGTATTGAATTTACATTTTATAAAATAATTATATCTCATATATTGGCAAGAGAAATTAAAAAATAGGTAGGGTTTAATTAAAAACTTTACAAATTTCAATTCTCTAAGGAAGAACATTACCCTTGATCTTCGATAGTTCGTTTATCATTTAGGTATTCTATTAATAGTGGAAGTTAATTAATTAATACTTTAAATCATAATTTTTAATGACTTGATTTGTTCTCTGCATTATCATCGTGCATAATTTCTTTTATGGTTTTCCAATTTGTTAACCCAGTTGTTTTTTTGTTTTTCAGTGTTTAAAATGGAGATGGACTAAAGCTTGGGCAGTAGGCATAGGAGCAGTGGCGGTAGTAGCTTGGATCGGGACAGACATTTATCATAATTTATAAATTATTATGTACTATATTGTAATTTATAAATAGTTATGTACTTTATTATAATTTTTATTGTAATTTATAAATAGTTTTGTACTTTATTATAATTTATAAAAAAATTGTAAATTATTGTAATTTACAAAAAGTTTTGTATTTTATTGTAATTTATAAATAGTTTTTATGTAACTGAAATTTATAAAATGTTGTCCTTTATTATAATTTCCAAAATGTTTTGTCCTTTACTGTAAATTCTAGAAGTTTAGTCTTGTAATTTATGGGTTTTATTTTTAATAAAGAAATTGTAATGATATTTTTTCATCATTAATACAATAAAATTGTTATATTATCAGTGACAATAATAATAATTAATGACATAATTTTATATTATTTCATGACATAGTTAATGTCATTGAATCCAAGTTATAATGTGACATTATGTGTTAACGTCACTATATGTTTAATAATACGTCACAAAAATATATATATCGTCACATTTGATATTTAGTGACACACCTAGCGTGACGTTCCCTATGACTTCAACTTTTACGTCACAAAATATAAATTGTGACGTAAATGTAAGTTTCAGTGACAATATTTTAGATTTCACAAATAAATAAATTTATTGTAGTGAAACTCTTTCTAAACAATTCACTTTAAAACCCGTCATATTCAATCTCTTATAAATTCCTTTAGTTTCTACCTCTCTTTTAGCTCCCTTAAGCTTTCTTAGCACTCCAAGAATCAAAACCAGTTCTAAACTGAAAGGATTATTAAATTGAGATAAACTTACCTTATTCATGTAGTCACTGGAATATAATAAGATAGTTGAACCCTAATTCTAAAAAATTCTCTCTTTTCCTTCTCCTTCTCCACGTGGTTTATATCCCATAAAAGAAAAAATCCTTTTTATAAAAAGAGCATAATACCATTCCACTAATCCAAATTTGATATCAAATCCTACACAAAATTCCACAATAAATCCATAAACTTTTCAAGTTATTCCAATCAAACCACTAAGTTTTTAATTCTTACATTTTGGTCACTAACCCAATTTTTGGGATATTACAAAAAATCTCAATTTTGGATCTCTTGTCAACTCAGAAGTACACCAGAACACCTTGCTAAAAGTACTTAACCATACATTTGTCTTGAGGATATCTCGACGTATAAATTGGACCGAATCGTAGGACACATAGCTGTTGATAACTACATCACCTTCACTAATGATGAGATCCCGGAAGAAGGAATGAGGTCCATCAAGGCTTTAAATATCACGGTGCATTGCCACAGACATGTCTTATCAGAGGTTCTGATAGATAACGGGTTGTACTGAACATAATGCCTTTGGCTACACTGCAAGGAATGCCCGTTGATAGCTCACACATGAGAGCTTATCATAACGTCGTCAGAGCGTTTGACGAAACCTAGAAGGACGTAATGGGAAAGATAGAAATACCCTTGATGATCGGACCTGCTATTTACAACATTGACTTCGAGATAATGGACATCCACCCGACATACAACTGCTTACTGGGGAGATCTTAGATCTACGCGGCGGGGGCAGTTCCTTCATCCCTACATCAGAAGTTAAAATTTGTAATTGATGGGAGGTTGGTCAGCATCGGAGCTGGATAAGAAATCATAGCTTCTCTCCCTATACATCGACGTCAATGAAAATGCCTTGGAATGCTCATTCAGGGCTTTAGAATTTATCAACGCAACGTGTTTGGTCGAAGGAAGCAGAATTCCATGCCCCGCACTATCAGATTGTACTAAAATGACAGTGAGGCAAACCCTAAGAAAAGGAGCAAGAATCGAAAAAAGACTGGGAAAAGATCTACCAGGGCAAGTACGACCCATAACTATTGAATGAAAGGGAGACCATTTCGGGCTCAAGTTTAAGCCCACCTTCCAGCAACATGGCTAAGAGCTGAAGAAGAGGGTTGAGGCAAGGAAAACAAGATTGAGAGGAGAAGACGTCCCCGGGGAACACATGTCCTTCCCTCTTCTAAAGAACTCTTTCAAATTTGGAGGAGTGTACGATACAGAGCTGCAACTGGCTAGTGCCATCGAGATCGTAAGGCTGACAAAAAAATAAAAGTGGATGGGCAAAGCTCTGAATGAACTGTCAATCAATATGATTACCGGGGGCAACTAACCTGAAAAGTTTCTAGCTGAAATTCATCATTGCTTCCCTGGTGAAAAGCTCGACGACTGGATAGTCGAAGACCTCCCCGTAGTTTTTAGGGTCAATCCAAAGTAATTCCCAAAAATAATTTGTATTAGCATCTGCAAAGTATCTATTGAACTTTTTGAAAAACTCAACGATTATCCAATCAATCAATGAAAGATACTTTTTTTCTCAATGGCAATCACTTTCATTCTTCACATTTTTGCATTACGTTCTTTGCATTATATTCTTTATTCTATATTCTTTATGCTTTACTAACCAAATTTCATGCAGATGCCACAATAATACATAATTGTTCCTGGGGCCAGTTACAAGATAGATTTCGATCGACCTTTGTGTTTAGAAGAAGTCAACGAGTACGAAGATGAAGAAAACTGTGAAGTCCCTAATGAGCTATTGAGATTGGTGGAAAGAGATGAAATACAAATTCTACCCCACAAGGAAGAAACAGAGCTCATGAATATGGGGATAGTGAAAGTACAAAGAGAAGTAAAAATTGACACTACCCTATCCGCAGAAATAAGGCTAGATTTGATAAGTTTTCTCTAGGAGTTTAAAGACATCTTCGCTTGGTCGTATCATGATATGTCAGGGCTAAGCACTGATATAGTGGTCCACATATTGCCCATCAAGACAGAATACAAGCTAGTTCAACAAACTCAAAGAATGAAACCGGAGATGTTATTAAAGACTAAAGAGGAAGTAACAAAATAGATCGATACAAGTTTTCTTCAGGAGGTAAAATATCTCGAATGGGTAGCCAATATAGTTCCGGTACCTAAAAAGGATGGGAAGGTCAGTATGTACATGGATTATCGAGACCTTAATAGGGCTAACCCAAAGGAAAATTTTCCCTTACCTCATATAGTACCCTAGTGGACAATACTGCGGGGTATTCTTGGTTTTCCTTCATGGATGACTTCTCAGAGTACAATCAGATCAAAATGAACCCTGAGGACATGGAGAAAACGACATTTATAACCGTGTGGGGAACTTTCTACTGCAAAGTAATGCCATTCGGGTTGAAAAATGTTGGGGCAACTTATCAAAGAACCATGGTGACTCTATTCCATGACATGATGCACAAGAAAATAGAAATGTACGTGGATGACATGATTTCCAAGTCCCGAACGGAAGAAGAGAATGTACAAAATTTGAGAAAATTGTTCCAAAGATTAAGGAAGTACAACTAAACCTCAATCTAGCCAAATGCACGTTCGAGGTTAAATTAGGGAAATTATTTAGCTTCGTGGTAAGCCAGAAAGGAATTGAGATCGATCCAGATAAGGTTAAGGCAATTCAAGACCTTCCATCACCTCACACACAGAAAGAAGTTCGAGGGTTCCTGGGAAGGTTAAATTATATATCGCAATTCATTTCTCAGCTGACCGATAAGAATGCCAGGAGACACTGGAAATTATCAAGGAATACATATCCAATGCCCCCATATTAGTAGCACTAGTACCCGACAGACCGCTGATTCTCTACTTAACGGTTTTCGAGAATTCAATGGGATGTGTACTAGGGCAACATGACGAGTCGGGAAGAAAGGAAAGAGAAAGTTATTACTTGAGTAAGAAGTTTACCAATTGCGAGACTCGATACTTACCGATTCAAAAGATTTGTTTTGCCTTAGTTTGGGCTACCCGGAGGCTCATACAATACATGTTATAGCATACCACGTTGTTGATATCGAGGATGAATCCAGTGGAATTTTTGATAGAGTCCCTTACTCTGATTGGAAGACTAGCTAGATGGCAGATGTTGTTATATGAGTTTGATATCGTCTATGTGAGCCAAAAGGCAATAAAAGGAACTACCATAGCCGAATTTCTTATAGGTCGTGCCTCAGAGGACCATGAGTCTCTGAACTTCAATTTCCCAAATGAGGAACTGATGTGCATATCTACCGATGAAGAGAACTCCGGGGGAAATAAATCTTGGACCTTATACTTTGATAGTGCCTCTAACACTTTAGGAAATGAATTGGGGCAATGTTGATTTCCCAAAGGAGATGTACTATCCTTTCACAAGCAGATTAGAATTCTTATGCACCAACAACATGGCTGAATACGAAGCTTGCATTACGGGGTTAAAAGCAACCATTGAAAGAAAAATCAAAACGCTCAAAGTATATAGAGATTCCTCGCTAGTGGTGTACCAACTAAGGGGAGAATAGGAGATGAAAGACCCGAAGCTAGTCGAATATTGAAATTCTGTCATCGAACTACTAAAAGGATTTGAGGATGTCATGTTTAGATATCTACCCCAAGAGACAATCAAATGGAGGATGCTTTGGCTACCTTAGCAGTAATGTTTAAAGCTAATAAGAGAACAAACATGATGCCCATAAGGATGCAAGTATACGAGATCCCGTCCCATTACTATCACCTAGAAGAAGAAATAGATAGCCATCCATCTTACCACGATATTTTATAGTATATGAGATACCAGACGTATCCCCCCGGTGCATCTGAAATTGAGAAGAAAACAATCAGAAGAATAGTAGTCGGGTACTTCCTTAATGGGGAAATCTTGTACAGAAAGGGCAGTGACCAAGTTTTACTGAGATGTGTAACTGCCAAAGAAGCAAAAAATGTGATGGAAGAAGTGCATGGAGGAACGTGCAGACCACATGCAAATGGTTTGTCCATGGCTAGAAAGATTATGAGATTTGAATACTATTGGGACACGATGTATACAGATTACATCAATTACGTGAGAAGATGCCATAAATGCTAGATATATGGGATAAAATTCAAGCACCGCCTTCACCTTTGCACGACATGAGCTCTTCCTGACCGTTCTCT